CCTCGTGAAAACGTCTATTACTTTCCTATATTTGCCCTATCGACGCAATTGAAGGTACTGTTCTAAAAATCCAGTTTAATAAAACTATGTTCATTCTTACTCCCTTACTGCTTCTGAAACAACAAGAGGTAGATTTCGTGCAAATGCTTATGATGGAAGGTAACGAGAGTTAATCCCAGGTTCCTTTTTATTATTTCATTTTATTATTATTATTTTATTTTATTATTTTTCTTTTTTCAGACAAAATAGTTGAACGTTTTAAAGAATATAGTTAAATGTCAAGTTGGCATTAAGTGTTTTTGTAAATTACCAAGTACTTTTTGAAAAACGATGTCAGGGATTTAAAACTGTATTTCACAAAATGAAAGTTTTTGGTTTTTCACTTGGGATGTGAACTCGTTATAAGGTAGTTTGAATTAACAATGGTTACTTTATTGTAATGTGTAATAAGTTGTCCAAACTGAAGAGCAAAAAATAGTATGAGAGGGCAAAAGTGCAAACACCTATCAACCAAAACATTTGACTTAACCTACAAAGTATGCAGATCTCGGAGGGTTTTATCCACAGAGGCAAAAGGCCATGATCTTCACAATTCCAAAATATCATACTCAGCCTCAGTAATAATAAGTGGAGGTTTAAATTCGGTGTAAATGAACACTGTAAGTGTCAAAATAGAGCTACGAACAATTAATATCTTTATTGGCACTCTTGATAAATGGAGAATTGAAAGAAATATGACTTTTGATTTCTACTGCTATTTCACTATCTGCCACGCTTTGACGCTTTCTCTTCTCTACTTGTTACTGACAGATTTTTGGAAGTATGAATAAGGCGACTACACTTGGTAAGTTGTTAACTCTGCAAATGAATTTTTTATCGATCACATGGGACAAGCGAGAAAGACCTGAAATTCGTATGGTCTCGCAAGAAAAAAAGAATTCTAGATACTTTCAGTAATACTCAAATAAGCCAATAAGATTTTCCTGGAAAAAAATTTCGAGGGTAAGCTGATCGAGACAAATTCTCAGAGTTCATTCTGTTTTCGTCACCTCTGACATAGCATGGTCTTTGCGCACTTACAAGTGTAGGGCATGCATGCGTAGTCAAGAAGCAAAGTGGGATCGCTTGGACTTGTTTTCTTGCCTTTCATAGGCAATTTGAACCAAAAAAATATCTTAAAATTTGCTCATTCAAATTTGACGAAATTTGGCAGAAATCCTATTCATATCGCGCTTACGTCAATAAAAGCCTAAAAAAAAAGGTTTCTCCCTCAAGCTATTTTATTGAAAACTTCAAGAAGACATTTGCTACAATCTGTATTTTAAAAACTGAAGGTCACTTATTGCAAGATGTGTGTAAAACTGCTAAATCATCCATGCTACTATGACAACAATCGAAATCTTACGTTTAACCTTATAAAATAATGTAAATTCTGTGCCTGCCAAGTTTGAGTTTTATACATGTACCTGCAATAATTTTTAAATAACACCCAGATGAATGGTAACGATCCACAACCCATCAAACTGTGTCCTTTCTACCTTAATCCAGATTCAATTAAACACACCTTTTTATATTGTCAAGAGTCAAAGGAATTCTTTTCCAAAACTTTATGGTGGTTTAATGAATATCATAAAGAGAGCATACAACTTACGAACAAGCAAATGTTATTTAACACGTTCGATGACTCCCTTCCATTGCAAATGCCAATTTCAACCCAACGCTAACTTCGTCTATTGGTTTTACTGCAAAAGAACTACTTGTATACTTGCAAGAACATTGTAACGAAACCTAATTTAGAGGAATTGTTACGTAAGCTTTTTGAACAATATCGCATTGAAAATTGTGGCAAACAATATTGAATATGTGTGGCAAAAGGCAGGTTTTATTGTTATTATTATTATCATTATTATATATTTATTTTCCAATACTCTTTATTTTTATTGTAATTTGTTTTGTTACTTACTGACATATTTATTTACTTATTTATTCTTTTACTTTCTGCTGTGTATTAATGTTGTTCATTTGTTGACAATAAAAAAAAACTGTGCTTAGCCACCTTCGAAAAGTAAAATGACAATTGCATGATGACGTCACTTTACTTCAACAATCATAATCCATCAGTTTATTTTTTGCTTGTGTAAATTACAGCTCTTGTTTTCTAAATCGGTTCCTTACCGGTATTGACAAATTAGAATAACAAGGCAAAAACGAACTGAACTCTGGTAGTTGTAGTTAAATGTCGCCCGCATTTTGACAATGGCGTATTAATATGTGCACTTCTGCATGTTGCGACTTAGTACTACCTCATTGGGGCCAGCTGGTCGTCAATGTCGGGTGTGAATATCCTTGCACTGTCCTTAATTGGCTAGTGTGAAAATCGTAGATGAAAATAAAGATAATATTGGTAATAAAAAGGGCAAAGAGGAGGGGGGTTTTATGAAGGGGTAGGGGGAAAGAAGTAAAATATTTCTCTTGATTTTACAGCGCAGGGTTGCTATGACGACAACTGGAAGAATCTTAGTCAGCCAGGATGGTCGAATTGTTCCTTGGGGAGATACTTGAATGGAATATGGAGATCAGCTAGTCGTAGTGAGTCTGATAGTATTGAGGTTATCGCGAAAGGGAGATGTTGCCTACCTCCAAAAGAATACCAAGATGAGGAAACGGTCTGCCTACAAGTAGAATGGAAAACCTCACTTAGCAGGTTAGTTTAGTGGTCCTGGGCCGTGACCCCCTTCGTTGCGGTGCGGTGCATACTTTTAGTATATAAATCAGGTGAAAGTCTTTGGTTTTCGAAATTATTTTTGATTGATTCATTTATTCATTTATGTTGGTTTCAGGAGCGTAATTACCTGTACGCCAATATACATGTGTGTAGCCGGATAAATGTCGAATTAGATAAATAAAAAATCAAAATCAAAATAGAAAAACAGAGAAGGTAGAAAAAGAACAGAAGAATTGAACAGGAGATACTGTAATAATAGAGGATAGCTGAGAAACGGTGCCATTCTACCCGTGAAAGTTCCCTTTGACTTTTTTCAGAAATGTTTTCAAACATGCGGCTTTTTCATCGATCGATTTGGTCACACGCAAAAGCCATATATCTGGTGCTTAAAGAACATGGTCTCATTGTCAAGAAAAGTTGTTATCGCATTATTATACCGAGAACCAAGTCACCCTCGTGAATACGATCTGGGAGACGGCTTAGAGCTTGATTTAACAACGTTTACGTACCTCTAAAAAGTTTCAAGCTACGCCCCTGGGCTTGAGTAGGGTTAACATTGAATCAGTTATTACTATTTGATTTTAGTTTTGCGAAAAAATAGCCTAGTTTATTTGGTACAATACGTTTATGCTATTTTCAACTTAACTTAAGATCTCCTCTAAGTTTCCTTACAGTGGACTGAAAATGTTGTGAAGGTACTGTGTTTCATTACGTAGTCAGTCTAATAAGTCGAGTTGTGTTGTTGGCCTGACCTTAACTAGATATTGCTGTGTTTTCCACCATTTTATGCTAATAAAACTAGAGGCTATTGTCCCATACAACTAGGAAATCGTATGAAAAAAAGGACGGATCAAAGCGAGGTGGATTGCATGGCTAGCAACCCCCATTTTTGACCGCGACTAACGCACTTGTTGGAACAGTTTGATTTGCGTGATATCGTGTACCGCCAGTGAGAGGACCGACACTATTGTGGGGTAGTATAATACGAACACTGAGGGGGCCATATAAGGTGTCCATATTAACGGGAAATTGAGAGAGTTGAATTTGAGAAAATGAAAGGGTTTTCTTTTCCCAGGAATGAAGCAAACTGTCCGTAATAATGAGATGTCCGTATAAGCGAATAAAACCTGAAGGCTTCCTGTTGAAACTTTTAAAACTTCTTATTGTGTACAATTTACCTTTAAAAAAATTCTTATTGCTCCATTATTTACTTAACCAGGACTTACACATGGGCTTCCTGTCCCGATGGGTATTTCCTCCAGGGACTTCACCGCTCAAGGGGCACTGACCTACAGAATATAGAACATGTTAGGTGCTGCAGACCTACTACATTCAAAAACATATCAGCGAACTGCAAAAGATCAAAGTGTAAGGATTTCACTCGACAACCAAGGCTGGAGCTCATGCTCAAATGGGTCATTTATCGTACGAATATACAAAGAACGTTGTAACACATTGAGCTGCATTGAAGAGTTCAAATGCTGTCAAATGTCTCCGTCAGCTAAAGAAAAATTAATGACTCCAAAGAAAAAAGGTACTTATCATCATCATCATCATCATCGTCGTCACATAGAATAATTATAATATATATTGTCATTATTGTTATAATTATTATTTTCGTTACTATTATCATAGCCTGTTCCAGGCGTTTGGATAGCTTTTGGATAATGGAGTGCGGCGCGAAGGAAGAGAGGGAGAAAAAAATAAGGAGGAAAAAAGGGAGAGGTAGAGCCGGGAACGCTGCGCTGTCCCCACGATCTGAACGCCTAGAACAGGCTATTATTATCATTATTATTATCATTATTATTATCAGTATTTCTCAGACCTATTCACATGCACCTATTAGTGTCCTTGTTTCCCCTTTCGCATCCAGCCATTACCCTGTAGACTTAAATGTGTAAGGCCCTTCTTAAGATCTTAGCTGTTCCCAAGAAACAAGCTTTCTGGAGCAATGCAATGATCACAGGTGTTCCTTGCTTGCTGATCCACATCCTCAGGAGATGTACTCATAGTCCCAACAGCTCCAACTACAATAAGGATAACAGATGCGCTTCTCCAGTTTTTATTATTGTTTATTATTACTATTTTATTATCACTATTGCGTCAACAGCCCTATATATTTAGAAGTTGATGCGAGAGAAAAGCAGAGAGAATAGAAACTATTAATAGCATTAAATTTAAGAAGAATTTTTTACGTAATACTGAATTAGATTCATAAAGAATCAATGACGGTTGTGAACTCTGGGTGAATATCAAACAACATATTTTTGTAGACATGGTAATACTCGGGCACTGGTTGCTGAATGGGGAGGACAAGAATGTAACGTGAGTAACATGTTAGTCACACTGCAGAGGAAGCCACTCAGGGGATTTCAAATTAAGTGATTTCCCTTTCAATTTGCATAAAAACTTATGTTAAGACGCAAAACGAGCAAGAAAATGTGAAGTTCTAAATAAATTACAAAAAGTTCCAGATAAATTACAAAGTTAAGAAAAAATGATGTCACAGGAGTTTTCTTCTTAATTTGTTCTTTTTCTTGGACAAGTTTGAGTCACAAGCCAAAGTACTTTTAGTGGTCCATTTACCCAAACCATGCGGGTAGGAATCTTGTGCAGAAACATCGAACTATAAAATTTGATGTGGTGGGAAAAGGACAAGCTACAAAGGACTTCCAAATAAGCTGAACAGACTAAAAAGAGTGGACAATTTTATCGCCTGAAATCATAGCCAATATTTTCTAAGGATTCGCAAACGGAATGGCGTGAACTATTTGATTTTCCAACCAGAATTTCAGGTTTTCTCAAGTAAATGGTAAGTATTCCAGGTTTGTTCGCTTTGCAAATTTAAGTCTTTTTCTTCTCGTCAGGTTTTACGGATCACGGTCCTTAACAGAAGGACGATGTCCCAAGAGCAAAGCCGTTTCGTTCTCCAAAACATCTCAGTTCTACGCCACGACACCGATAATCAGTTTGAACGGACGCAGCTTTACGATTTCATGCTGGATAAAACAAACCCAAAGGAATGCCATGTCAGGAGAGATCTACGGTGATTGGCAGTACCCATATCAGTTTCTGCTTAGTACAAAAGAACAAAGGATATCATTCCATCGTCACAGTCACGATGAAAATGAGGAATGGTGGTCTTTAACAAGTAAAGAAATTCCTTTAAAAAAATGGATTCACCTGGTAGTCAAGTGGAATAACGAGGCAGGTAAGGTATTCATCTATGCCGATGGGGTTGAAATTGCATACAGAACATTTTCCACAGGTGCAAAGTTCTATGATTCCTCCAGACATTTGTATGTGGTTGGCAATGCCAAAAAAACACACCAGTTCCAAGGATCAGTGATGGATCTGTTCGTCTTTGGCACAGCACTCTCACTGGATGAAATAAATAAACTAAGAGGTGAGAGATTTGAAATCCTCTATACCTTGTTTTAGTTTGAGCAGGAGATGTCTGTGATGTTATAGAAATATATTAGGAAGCTTAAGCAACGACGACGACAACAGTAGATGAAAACGCCGCAAAAAAAAATAATAATAATTTTTGCCTCTTTAACTTACTCGGATCTATTTGGACCCGCTCAGTTTGTCAAATGTAAGCGCTTTCTCCTGGAGTTGAATTCTAACGGACTTTCTCCAGCTTCTGAAAGAGGAAGGAAAATTCGTCGTCATATGTTCACGTCCTCCATAAAACGTCACATTAGATGGTTTCACGTCGTAGTAATGTAGTAGACGTCAAAGAAACATGTATTAAAAGCGTGATGTACGTGCAAAGAAGCTGTTTTGGTCTTAAAAGCAATTGGTTTTTCACGTTGTCGTTGTTTCGTGCTGAAAATCAGTCTGTTCCCCGGATAAACCATCGAAACTTCTTCATACGTGTAGGTAAGGAGAGGCTTACTAATCACTTCCTAGTCATAAATATAAATGAATGAGCATTTCCTTTGAACAAGCGAAAAGAGTAAGAAGCATGCACTACAAAATGTGGCAGAATAATTCGTATTGATATCAGTTCATCAATATGTACAGTTCCCCTAGACGTTATCTGAGCTCTCGACCAAAATCTATTCGTTCTCTGTCTTTAAAATCGCTCTCTCGAACCTTTAATTTACTTGCGTTCTAAGAAAAATACCACATTAAAATTAACTGAAACATTTTGAAAAAAAAATCAAGGTGTTCCAACGATAGTGAACAAACAAGTCACGGGAGGAACAGTTGGAATACAATGGGAGCCACCCTTGGAAGGAGCGTGTCCCGTATTGGCTTATAATATTTACTACAGAAGAGTGAGTTCACCACGATCTGGAGAAAGCAAAAGGGATTTAATCAGCATCGATGGAAGTATAAATCAATATACCATTCATCTAAATTGCAGTCACGAGTATGAAATAAATGTTACTTCAATGGATGGCCATATGGAAAGTGACAGCAGCCAGACTTTGAAGTTTAAACCCAGTGGAGGCAAGTTAAAAATTATCTTAAATTCGGAATCTCTTTTGTTCTTTTTTTCGAACCAAGTATGACATTTAACGAATGGCAAGCACCCGTTTCATTGTCACATTTGTTCTCCATTTTTTTTTCAGATGTTCCTTCGCCTCCAGTTTTAAGCAGTTTAGAAAAAGAAGTATTCAGCTGCAACGTCAGCCTGGCATGGGAAACGCCTTCAGATCATGGATGTCCGCTAATTATGTATACGATCTACTACATGCAGATTCAACCACAACAACCAGGAGCACCCTGGTACGTTGTGAACATCACCAACGCCATGGCAAATAAATACTTTTTGGCAACAAGATGTGACACGGAGTATAAAATCGAAATGACCGCCTGGAATGAGGTAGGGCAGAGCAGCAGGTCAAAAACGTGGAAAACAACAAGTTCAGGTAGGTTTTTCAGGACAATCATATCGTTACAATAATTACTGATCACCAATAAAGGCGTGTAAACGGATTTTCAGAGAATTCGTTCAAAATCTTCCCTAACTTACTATCACATCACGCGAACAAAAGCCAGGGAGCAATAGTTTGAGACACAACGTTCCACACGGTTTAAACTTGTTTCATCAATAAAAGATGCTTTAAGATTTTCGACACCTACAAGTTTCGCACAAATGAAATAAAGCAAATCCATGTAAAAGCCATTTATTTTAGTTTTCTATTACTGATTTCATTTTTATTTTTTTAAAACCTGGCTTCAATGGATAAACAAGTTGGGGTGAATAGGGCTTAAGATTACCACTTAGAAGATCTATAATTAATTACTTGAATGTAAATGTGGATGCAAAATGTTTGAAGCAGAAGAAAGTTTCTCACCAGTATCGTTACTCTCTTTTTCAATGAGAATAGCCTCATTGTTACCTTTTTACATCTTTTCAGGTACACTTAATGAGGAATCCTCGATCTCAAAACCATCAGAATCAGTAGTTACCAAAAGTGGAAACCATTCGGCTCTATCCCAAGCTGCTGGTTTAACAGCAGGAATTGCTGCTTTCCTTGTTATAGCCATTTTGGCAATATTCCTGTTTCGAAGAAAATTAGCCAAAAGAATAGGACGGGATCGTAACGCCAGACCAAGAAGGTAAATGAAGAAATGTCATTGATCGAAACGTAAGAAGTCTTCAAACTAGTAAGCGACACCACAAACTTAACAAGTTATTAACTGAACCCAATAAGGCTCCATATTCACTAAGAAATCAATAGCCTGCGAGCAAGCTCTCCTATTTGGGCGAGCCTCGCGAGAACGCGCGAGCGAGGGGCCTTTCCTCTGCCCCTCGCGGCTTTGCCTTTCGCTCGCGTGTTCTCGCGAGACTCGCTTCGCTCGCCCAAATAGGATAGCTTGCTCGCAGGCTAAGAAATCAACGACACTTTGCACTTCCAAAGTGGGAGACGGACCGAACACTTTTATTTAGCCGTCAATTAAATGATTCGGTTTTAATGCTTTTATATATTATATGCATGAATTTTAATATTGATATATTGTAAATTATTCTATTTTAGCTTAGTTTTATTCTTAAATAACGCAATTCAGCCCCTGGCTGCTGATGTAATTATTCTAATAAACTATCTATCTATCCATCTATCTATCTATCTATCTATCTTGATCTATCTATCTATCTATCTATCTATCTATCTATCTATCCATCCATCTACCTACCCATCTGTTGAAGATAAGAAAGATTATGAATTCCTAGTCCAAGGAACTAAAAACAAAAAAGACAAAACGTTATTTGTAAAGCATTCGATGCAACTATAAATACCGTTGTTTTTGTTTTTATTTCTTTATTTTCTTCATTCAGGTCCAAGTCCACTATAATCCCCCTTATACAATGGGAGATTCTACGAGAACAAGTTATCTTCCAGGAAGAGATCGGTCGTGGTGCATTTGGTAAAGTGTTAAAAGGCATATTTAGGGAATCCCCTGGAATCGACGTATTTTACGAGCCCAGAAATCAGACCGTCGACTTTAAAGAAGGCAGAACAGTAGCCGTTAAAGTTGTAGGAGGTTAGTAATCAAGCAATAAAAGCAATGTTCTTCACGATTATGATTGCTATTTGTAGTTTCTTTAGCAAATTCTTTAAACAGTATATAAAAGGTCTATTATTGCAACGAATGGTGTTTTAAGGAGACCTTATATTAAGACACGACCTTTAGAAAGTCCCCCACTTGTTTCTATATTTATGGATACTAACAACATTTCGTTGTATCCATTTAATGGCACTTTGAAGATCAAGTGAAGTACATTCATCATCATTGATTCGACTAACTTGACTGTTCTAGGGTTCAGCATAAGTCTCTTCCAGGGAGGTCTGTCGTTAGCACTCTCTTGCTAACCGTTCAGAGATCGATGTCTCTCTACTTCACGTTTCTTCCAGCAACATCCCTAGTTGTTCGAAGGCCGATTAGCGCTTAACTCGGGGTTAAATTTAACCAGGGTTTCTTTTTCTTGTGCTCAAAAGCATTTTCTTGGACGAATTTTCTCTGTTATTTTTAAACCTTCCAATCATCAACCGGTAGACAAAAAGAATTAAAACTAAAATGCTTTTTAAGCTTTCAAATCTGAATTCAAATCGAGCACTAGCCCTGGGTTATCTTAACCCAGCTTTTGTGTGATCTTGTCTTTACAGCACACGTTTTTTCATTCTTAAATGTCTCATCAGTATAAGCATGTAGCTTCTTCGAATTCACGTGGGTCTGATACCGAGTCCATTAGAATGGCTTAGATTGGGTTACTCGGAGTCGAAAGGGGGCTTAAGCAAACAGGAACACAACTGTTAAACACTGTGCATATCGGTTATGAAGCACATTTGTACCTTTTTTCAATCTTCAACGTGATTTTTCGTACATTTAATTAGTTAACAAGCGATTTCAAGTCAGACAAAAGAGAAGAATATTCTTGTTGTGATCTTTAGTCAACCTTAATATCCTACACTGTTTATAATTGATTAGGTACGGATCTATGTGTAATTCAACAAATCAAGGTAAGTAAATTAATTTCTCTTGTCAAAAATATTCACTTTATAATTTTGTTCTAATTTTAGAACGGGCAGACCAAGAAGCCAAAAATCAATTTTTGGAAGAAATTGAGCTGATGAAAGCAATCGGCTGCCACAAGAATGTCGTTAGCATGCTGGGATGCTGTATTACCTCAGACCCCATTTTTTTGGTCCTGGAATATGCTCCGTATGGTGATCTACAACGTTGGCTCAGAAATAAGAGATTGCAGGTATGATAGCTATGATAGCGGTGAGTTCGACTTACTTTAAAAGCTCTCGATTGTGAATGTAACACTCGCCATTAACGTTAAGTTGAAAATCGGAAGCTTGTGTGGAAAAAAGGTTTTTCCCTATCCTGTATAGACTGTTCACAGTCCCCTTTTTTCCCGTTAGATCGTCGAGATCGAGCGCTATGCGTTACGGGCTGCCATCTTGGATTAGTGTCAAAACTACTTAGGGGGCGGGGGGCGGTTTGGAAGGAAGCGAGAAAAATAGAAGGACTGTAATAACATCACTGCAGCCCGCGTTCAGGGGGCGTAACAGGAATTTGACGCCTTTTACACAATTCATTAATTAATAAACTCCGCTGGCGAAGGAAAACATGCCAGACACCAACCTAGTTCCCAGGGTTCTCTCCTACCTGTGAGGTTGGCCAGACACATTTAGCATCGATTTCGCATGTTTACAAAATTAATATCTCCTTTCGAAACAGTGATTTAATACGGTTTCTGGGACATTCCTCCAAATAACATCGGGAAACATGCACGGATGAAACATTTTCCTAATCGAAGCGCTAAGCATACATGCTCGCTTCGCCACAGATTAAAACGGTTAAACTTCCCGATAAAAAGCCAGGCACGTCGGCGTAAAGTTAAATTTCAATTCGTTTGGCAGAAACGGTGTTATGACATTAACGCTTATCATTGTATGAAACAAATAGATTCCATGTTGCCGTGGGTCTATTTAATAATAGATCACAGATGACGTCAAAATGTGATAAAAACAATGAAGTGGCACACTGGCCGCAGGCGAGTGTGTCACTGGTGTTTTTACAACATTTTGACGTCCTCTGTGATCTATTACTGAACAGGCCCAAGGCAACATGGAATCTATTTTTTTATACAATGATCAGAAAAGGAAAAACACCGATGCAATATTGTAAAGAAACTCAGCTCTTACCCATAAGCCTTCTAAGATGACTCTCTTCTTGGTTCCTGATTAGCAAAGAAATATTCAGTTTCATCAAAAAGACATTCTCAACTTGGCCATCTCTAGCTGCTTTAAGGCTCTACAATGACAGAGGCAGCATGAGACTTAAGCTAGCCCCAAGCAGAGAATTCAAAGCCACATCAAGCCCCCTTCCCCGACCTCACACGGACTCGCAGCCGAGCACATGGATGAGGGGAATTCTTTCATTGGCAATCAGCTTGATACATTTAAAAAATTTGGCATGACAAACTTAAAGCAAACCGGCATGATCAGTGAACTGATTCTCCAGAGAGACTAGCTGAACATACCACGCTTTTGCAGCAGCCTTCTCCCCCAGGGATTGACATGTAGGCCCCTTCCCACCCCATGGCAGCTTGACGATGAGACCAACCAAGACAGCAAGCCCTCTATGAGAATTCTCACGGCAGTCACCACTATCGCCAGGTTTCTGTGCGAATATTTGGGCCTTTTTGAGGCACGTTTTCCAAAATTCGGCTCGATGTAACTGTTGATATAAATAGATATCCTCGATAAACGAGGGCGTAAGCACGAGAAGAAAAAATAAGAGACGTTTGTTTTTTCTCGTCTGGACCCAATTCCTTATTGTAACAAAACGTCGTGGTTTGCAATCGCGTTGGCTGAGATAAGAACTAGACGGGTTTTAAGAGAAAAGGCGGACTGCAAGTAGTCTATACTTTGTTTGCCTAATCGGCAAGAGAACAATAACGCAATAGACATACACCTAGGGACTCTTGGGCAGATATGATTTTAGGGCCTACAGATACAATCTTGCTCGAACTGTTATTCGTCTGTTTGTTTTTGTTTGTTTTTGTCTTTGTTTTGTTTTTGTTTCAGAAAAGCTATCAAAGAGTCTACGACAACGAAGACAGAGAGGTCTTGTCTTCTGGTGGCAATCTAATTGCTGTTTCGACAGAAAAGATTAAGTCAGGAGAAACTGATGCGGAAAACCTTGAAAGCAGAGAAATTGAAGAACGTGCAATTCACTTGTCATTAGGAGAGTCTGAAGTGACTTTTTGGAGTAGTGACATCTCCAAGGAAATGTCTCTTGATGAACTTAAAGAGACCCGTGTTACCGCCGACCTTGCATTAACTACCAACAAAGCTGGCATTCACGATAGTGGTGACAGTAAAAAGGGAAGGATAACAAACCAGTGTGAGAATTTCTCTGGGATGAGAAGTGTCCATCCGAGTGATTCCCAAGTAGATGGGACAAGTGATGATGATTTGCTAACAGCTATGGACCTTCTTTGTTTTGCATGGCAAATAACACGTGGAATGGTAAGGGCGCAAGAGAACTTCAAGGGTCCCCCTTCTAAGTGCTACTGGATACTCAGTTAATATTGGTTTCAGCTGGGATTAAGACCCGCGACTTCCAGCAGGCAGAGGTTATTTTATATAGAGATGGGTTGTGTCAGTAGGAAGAAAGCGCATGTTCATTACACAGAATCCCTTGGGTACATGGCAATATGGGTGATTTATCGAGCGAAAAGATTATTTCAAATTCTCCTTATTGGAACCCGTTCTCTTAATTTTCAAGGTTGTTCTCTATTATCATATTTAATCATACGATTATCACATTAAGTAAACTGACTCGGTATTTGTAAATGCTTTCAGTTGTGTCGCTTTGAAAAAATTTCAAAGATAGGGGGTCATGAATCAGTCTGTCTCAATGATGGTTGTTCTTTTGTGGTTGGTGGGTCTTGAAGAGACTGTGGTTGTGTTAGAAGCGCTGCTTGGGTCCTGAGTGTTGGGGGTCACTATTATGGGCTCCTGTCGGCGTTATGTCTAATGTTTTGCTTTTTGGTTTGTGGTAGTTACTTTGGTCATCTTTCTAGCTCTAGTCATCTCTTGAGTTGTTGTGGTCATGCTGCTATTAGTTTTGGTCATTGCGCGCGGAAAACGTGGGAGTAATGGTGGTTGTTGTGGACGGGGGTGTTGTCAGTGTAAAGTTCCCGTTGTGGTTGTAGTAATAGTGTAGCTGTAATAGTGTAGCTGCTGTGGTGTCTGTCGTTGGTATGATTGGTCAAGTTGTTATAGTTGTTTTTGTCACTGTAGTAGTTGTCTTTGTGGCAATTGTTGTAGTCCTGATAGCCGTTTTGGCTGTAGTTGACTTTTTATTGTGTTTGGGGCTGGTAGTCCCGAAATTTGTGTCGTCGCATCGCAACTGCCGTAAATACCATGTAGTTACCCATAGTTCTTGAATAGGAAGATTGAACGTGGGGGGTATAAGTATGTCACAAATTATTCCTTTCATGCTTCCTCCAGCTGTCTTTGTTTATCCCAGAGTTTTCTTGCGAGCAAAGGATTTGTTCACCGTGACTTAGCGGCGCGTAACATACTTCTTGGAGAAGACAGAGTGGTAAAGATCTCTGATTTTGGACTAATGAGGCACACTCAGGACGACGTGTACCAGCTCAGGAAGGGAAAAAGGTTGCCGGTTAAGTGGACAGCACCAGAGGCACTCTATAACAGTCAATACACCACAAAGAGCGATGTGTGAGTATTTTGATGCTTAGAGTGAAAACTGTGTTACACCATGTCAACTGCGCATGGTCATATGTCACACATTTATCAATACCGTAATGATAGAGCAGTAACCCGTAGTCCATTGTCATCCCCAACTGCTGATTGGTTGAAAATATGCGTCAGCCTATCAAAATCGAAGCACTACCCAGATCTGGGAAGTGACATTCATGCGTCATTTCGAGGGAAACCGTTGGTGGCGTCGCAAAATCTCGGCTGTTTTCTTAGGCTACTTCCGGTAGCGAGCCGCCACGAAAATGGAAATAGCACCTTAGAAACGAAGTTGCAGGTTTTCGTTCAGGTCTGGGCACAGTGGAACTTTCAGATATCAGATAGAGTAAACACCTGTTTCTAAGAACAAGTGGTTTTTAAGGCTAATAAAGTACGATATATGTAAGAACCAATTAAGCCTGATAAATAAAACATGTTCTCTGGATGCCAGAATAGGAACCCAATTTAGTAACTCCTATTACGGTACTATCGTGTACTGGACCAAAATTTTGTGAAATGTTAAAACAACTTAACAACTAGATGTTGGGTTTCCAATCAAGTTAATTTTTACTTATAAAAGTAAAGTATAAAACATTGTATGTTAATTAAACCTCTAGTACTGCTTAATGTATAGTATTTTTGAAACAAATTTTGAGAACATTTTCAGGCTCAGTTATCACTAAGCACCAGATAATTAAGCGGGTGTTCGCTGTTATTTCTGAAATAACAGTCTTTATCTTTCCTTATGGTCATCGAGATTTCTTCAAATAACTTGACAATGATTAATTCTCAAAGAGTACGGATTTTAGTACTGTATAATTTATCTTTAGGTGGTCTTTTGGAGTTGTGCTATGGGAACTTTCCACAATGGGTAAGAATTAATAAAGCACAATTTAGAAATCCGTTTATTACGTATGGAGTCATTGAATGCAGTCTGAAAAAATCACGATTTTTTCATCTTTTGGCTAAAAACATTGAGGCAAGGATCTAGTTTAGATCTTTAAACGGCAAATTGATATCCTCACTATTCACTCAGCTAATAAACGAAAGGGAAACGTTTCTCGAACTTAAACAGAATCAAATATACTGAGAGGCGGAAATACAAAAATGCTGTCTTAACCCTGTTCAGACCAGGGGAGCTGAGTTGAATAACTTCAAAACAGTTAAGCTGGACCGCAAAACTTCGCGACTTGGTGACTTAATAGTATTCACAGGCAGTGAGCGAGCCAAGTTATTTCGATTTTGCAAAATAGTTGAGGTTGTCATCAGTTTGTAGCCTAAACAGCTGATTAAAAAACTTGTTATTGTAGGAGGGAATCCATACCCTGGTATAAGTAACAAAGAATTGTACAAGCTTCTAAAAACAGGATATCGCATGGAAAAGCCCGACATGTGTTCCGATGAACTGTAAGTATAGTTTTAGGCTACTTATGATGATAAATATTTTGTGTAACGGATAAAAATGCAGCCTACAACAAAGCTTTTTGCTCTGGATTTTCCTTTCAGCTTTCCCTTCACCACGCGAAGCGCTAGCAGTCCTTAGCCTGTCCGTATGTAGACATTTTGTTTAACGCGTTGTTGACACTGTGTTACTGTTCCTTTGACAGGTTCCAGCTGCTATTAGAATGTTGGAATGAGGACCCCAGCGCGCGACCGACGTTTGATCTCGCCGCAAAAGCGCTGGAGAAGATGATGGTGAAGGGAACTCCTTATTTGGATTTGGATTTACTTGATGAATCAAAGGCATATTACTGCGAGAAGCCTTTGGAAGAAGGTGACACATCCTAAAGAACAGCCTTGCTTCGTAGTCCTCTTTGGTTTTTGTTCTTGTCTTACCTGGAAAACTACCACCAAGTCGACTTAACGATTTGACAATATCTGTTACTAACTACACGTTATTAACAACGTTTGATTTTTTTTCTTAGATAAATAGTATTAGCTACTATGTAGCAACCAAACTCTTAGATTCAGTTGAACTTCAGGAAGGAATATTTCCATTAAATAAAGCATGAGACATTAGTCACAAAACTTATAAAGATCTAATAGCCAAGAAAATACTTTGAGGAGTTTAAGAAGACAGCGATTTAAACTTTAAAACTTTATCTTTATTTATCGAAGTGTTACAGGTGTGTTAGTTTCTCAAATGAAATAACTTGGGTTAAACTTGACACAAAGTTATTTGATTCAGTATAACTTCGCTATTGCTATTATTGCTTGCTTTTAGCTTCGGATTAGGGCTAGGGGCCGTTTCGTAATGTTTATCGTAAAAAGCATTAATTTTGTTAGCGTGCATTTCTAGACCAAGTAAATTTGTTCCTTACTTATTAAGTTATCACCTATCTGATGTTATACACAAATGTGCTTGTATGTCATTGGTTCGATATTTTCTTTTTCTAGAAGGCTTTGCACAGGGTTGTATGCTATGTATAACTAGCTGTGAGTTACTTTAAGTGATTAAAATTTGTAGGAAGGCACAAATCTAATTACTGGACCCATGCGTAATAAAGGTCCTATCTGTAGCTCCAACGCGGCACGCTTTTCTCCCCATAATTGGAGACCTAGCTCGCAGGCTTCCTTCTACAAAGTGATGGTACCATCAGTGTGGCTGCGGTGCCGTCGTGTTTTGCATGTTGTCGCCTACCATCCGAGGTTGCTTATTCAACTTCAATTTTACTGTCCTTTTCAACTCACGAATTCATCGGGAAATTGTAGAAGGGGAATGAGGTGAAGAGAAACCAGGAAAACCTTTCCGAAAGAATCTATTTCACAACATGCTTTCTCAGAAGGGTAAATTTTTCTAAGAAAAGAAAAGATTAAATCCTGTCGATGTTACCTTTTGTACCTTAATAAGAATAAGAATAATTAAAATAATTATGATATTAATAATGATGATCGCACTATATTTTTTTCTTTCAGAGCTCAATAGCACTTTACAGCAAAAATACAATATTAGAATAATGGTTAAAAATTGAAATAAATGTTGAATTGAATGAGGCTGGGTATCATCTGAAGAATTATGGAGATCTCGGAGGGTGTGACCGAGGCGGATAACACCCTTCGAGATATCCATAATTCTTCAGATGATACAAAAGCCGAATTCAATAATTGTTTCATTATTCATTCAAACTGATAATTCCTAGTTGAAAAACAAGCTAAAACATACTCACCCCTGTCGATGATGAGTTCATCTGGATAGTGCATGTTTGTCGGGAAGTTTAGAATATAAAGGGTTGTTTAGGTTTGCAAATATTCTTCAAAGAGCAGATTCGAGCAGATGTCGTCCATCGAAGTTGCATTTTTGTCTTCTTGCTATATTCTTAGACAATATTGCGCCTTTTTCTTCCTCGTGAAACGCGTAAAAAGTTTTGCCATCTTGTACTCACTACCAAAACAACTAAATCTCGTCCCCAGGTTTTCTCGGTTGACAGTTCAATAAGCTTGCAACTTTGCTGCACGATTGACGTCATTTTTCACATATAGCAAAATTGTTCCAAATTTGGTCGACAATAGCTGGTTATGTTGAATTATGCGTGGCATTTTAGCCAATCAGACACGGCGAAATATTTTGAATGAATAATAATTAACAATTACTTGAATTCATTTACAATGATTCCTAGTTTACAAACAAGCTATAAAAACATGCTTTACTCCGTCGATGTTAAGTTCATGCTTCTTCGATGGTGCATGTTTATCCGCAGGTTTAGGAGCAAAAGGGTTGTTCATTTCTGCAAATATTCTCCAAATAGCAGATGTCGTCCTTCGAATTGTCTTCTTGCTGTTCTTGTTATGTTTCTAGCCAATAGTTTGCCTACTTCTTCACTACCAAAACAACTCAACCTCGTCCCCAGGTTTGTTCAATAATCTGGCAATTTTGCTGCACACTTGACGTCAGTTTCACATATCGCAACTAGTCTTCCAAAACTGGCTGACAATAGCTGCCCAGGTTATGATAAATTATGCGTGGGATTTAAGCCAATCAGAAAAGGAGAAATATTTTGAATGAAATTAATATTTAATAAAATCATCCAATTCTAAAGAACCAAAAACTGAGTAAAATATAAGAAGACCAATTGATAAAAATGTGTTTTTGGTTATGATGTTGCTTACATTTACTTTTCGATTGAAAGTTAAAAGCCCTTACTTTTTACGCTTCATTCATCGGAAGCAGGTACTCTACCACCAACTCACGCTAAAGAACAGCCCACATTTCCCCCTTTTACTGGGGTAAAAACGAAATGATGATTTTTATAATAGAGGTATTTCTTTTTCTTTTTTTTTCTAACGCCAAACAAAACAATGACACTGAAAGGTTATGATATTGTTGCATCCTTTGAGTCACAAAACAGAGGAAATATGCACAAATATCTTTGAACTATTTAAGCTGAAAAATATACTTCAAAGAGCACAATTGGGAAATGGAAAATAAAATGCAATTTATGAACGACTGGCAAGGACCACTGACATCTCGTCGTTGTAAAAAGGCATCTTTGATGTTAAGAAATGAACGTTCTCAAACTCGTCAATAATTCATTAACATAACTGACTACCGTGACGCTGGTGTACATTAAAAATTTTCGATTTTAAGTTGTGAATTTCTTCAAGAATCAATGTTCATTTGAAAACTAATTAATCAAACTCTCCACTTGTCATTTTGTCTGCTATCCACAAGAAGTCGCTCTCAAAAACTAGGCCTCGCTTCTTGGTGTCTGAATATCGGATAAAGCACTGCGTGTCGCGTTTTTGTATTACTTCTTTCTTGATGGTTCGTGGGTAAAAAAAGTACCTTTCAGTTTCCCTCTTAGCGTCACATGTCATATCCTCCCAACTACGCCTTGAATGAACCGCCCCCATGTCAGCAATAGCTGAGGTAAGAATTACTTAACGTACGATGGTCTCTCATAAGAGCCGGTTCGAAAAACAAAAACTCCAGTCCGTATTGACAGATCTCAAGACATCAGAAAATTTGCCAGGTAAGTCGTTTCGTCAGTGTTTGGTGCTAAAAGAATTTTTTTCTTTTGGATCAGTTTAACCTCTTTTATTTTTCATTCACTCTCACCGGGCACTTATAGTCCAGTTTGAAACAGGTCATTCAATTTAGTGAGTTATCGATTTTCTTTGGACAAAAACGTTAAAAAGCGTTTCCTTAATGAGGTCTACGCTTTATAAACGATTAATAATACCAGAAAAAATGATCATTAAGACCGCAATTGCTTTACGTTAAAAGTTACTGACTTTTACCACTGAGAATTTACTTACTAACTTAATCCCCCCTGATTTATGCTCTGTGTTAATATCGGATCAAATTTGTCCAAGACGTATTTTTGTGAGGTTCATTTTTCGACTAGGTAAGTGGACAGGTGGGGAAATCAACTTGTTTGGATGCAATGTACCACCAATCGTCTTTTTGTAACAAAGGAAGGTATACAAGAAGATGTTCGGTTTCACGTATCCGTATATTCGCTCACACCAAATCTTGTACAAATATCAGGTTGAATTTAGGAAAGGATATTCCACTGAACAAGCTACTCTTAAAATTACTGACAATCTGAAGCTAGCCACTGATAAAGGTCAAATAACATGTGGTTTATTTCTCGACCTATCAAAGGCATTTGACACAGTAAATCATAAAATACTGCTCTCTAAACCATATCTATATGGAATTCGGGGTACACCACATAATTGGTTTGAAAGTTATTTGCACAATCGAAGACGATATGTTAAAATTGACTCTACTAAATTTAGCTATGAAAATATTACCTATGGTATACCCCAAGCCTCGACTCTAGGTCCTCTTTTATTTTTGCTCTATGTGAACGACTTACCAAACTGAGTCGACAAACTTTCGGTGCGGAGCTTTGCTGATGAAATCAATTTATTTTACTCTAGCGACAACTTAAAACAGCTTGAATCCGTAATGCATCGAGAGCTTGAACAAATTTATAACTACTGTGCTCTAAATAAGTTATCTATTAAAACTGCAAAGACCAACTATATGTTAGTGTCATCATCTAGATGCTACCCAAAGATAAATATCACTGGTATTGAACAGAAAGATTACATAAGGTACTTGGGAGTTTATATAGATAAACATCTCAATTGGCCCCACAGATACAACATGTAAATAATAAATTAGCTAAAAATTTAGGAATCCTTCAAAACCAAGATATTACATTGATCTGAATATACTCAAACAAATTTATTATGCTTTAATATATCCCTATTTGAGTTACGGGATTCTTGCTTGGGGATGTGCCAGCAAAACCAGATTAGATTGTCTTCGTATTAAGCATAACAAATGTCTCCGCACCATCTTTTTTGTACATCCTAAAGAGAGTGCGGCGCCCCATTTCAAACTCCTAACAATCCTTAAATTATATAACATATATGAATTAAAAATATACTGCCTTACACATAGAATGAGAAATGAAACTGATAGCATTCCAGATATTTCCTTGATGTCCTGACTCCAGCATCGCGTATACACAATCATAAGATTTGTCAGTAACCCGAATTATTTTAGGTCAAGAGTATCCGCCAACTTAGGTAAAGGCGTCCTTTAAGGTGATTCCATAGTAAAAGAACCTAACATAGATTGTAGCTAAAACTTGGTACACTGATGTAACAAGTCAAGAAGATGATAAAAAAGTAATAAAAAGTGGGGGTCACCGTGCTCGTTTTGACGTCACAATGCTGACAAATACGGCTATTTAGGACCTTTTTACAAAAACCGCGGGCAGCCCAAAACTAGACAAAAAGGAGAGATTTTTTCGATGATGCATGTGGCATCA